GGCCTTCTGTGCTTTCAGGTCCCGGCTACACCTTCCTACACTGAAAAGCATTTTTAAAAAGCACACCGCTAGTGGGAATGCAGTCCTTAAATCCCAGCACTCAGGAGTCAGAGGCAGGCGGATCTCTGTGAGTTCGAGGCCAGCCTGGTCTACAGAGCGAGTTCCAGGACAGCCAGGGCTGTTACACAGAGAAACCCTACCTTGAAAAACAAACAAACATAAATAAGTAAATATGAAAATATATAATCTACAATTATCCAACCCTGTCTCAAAAAAAAAAAAAAGGAAAAAGACTTAAGATGGCGTTCAGTCGATAAAGGCACTTGCTACAGAGGCGCAGTGGTACGAGCTGAATTTGGGTGGGTGGCCCAGTGGTTAAGAGCACCAGCTGCTCTTGCAGAGGTCCAGGGTTTCCCAGCCCCCGTGCGAGGGTTCACAGCCACCTTTAACTCCAGTCTCGGGTCTGATGCCCTCCTCTGGCCTCTGCATGTGCCATGGTGGGGACACACACATACAGATTAACACACACAAAATAAATAACAGTGAAGATGGGAAGGCAACTGATGTCCTCTGACCTCCGCATTCATGCTGTGTCACGTGTAAACACGTACACATGATAAGTATATTTTCCAACGGGAGGCAGAGGCAGGCGGATCTCTGTGAGTTCGAGACCAGCCTGGACTACCAAGCGAGTTCCAGGACAGCCTCCAAAGCCACAGAGAAACCCTGTCTCGAAAAAAAAAAAAAAAAAAAAAAAAGTATATTTTCCAAGTATATTGACCTAGCAGAAACGCTAAATCCTAGGAAGTTCTATGGTTAGTTACAGTAATGATACTGTTTCCCAAATGTGGATCACTCCCCTGTGAGGTCCTTGTACTAAGGGTTGCGTCTAGGCATGTGGTTAGTGGGAGAGTACTTGCTTAGCACGTATAAGGTCCTGTGTGTAATACCCAGCACTGCCTGACACAGAAATGCCGGGTGGAAGGCCAGACATGGTAGTACACATCCATAATCCAGTGCTGAGTTCCAGACCAGCTACAGAGTTCAAAGCCAAACAGAGCTATAGTTTGACTCTGTCTCAAACATTGGGACTGAGCTGGGCGTTGGTGGTGGGAGGCAGAGGCAGGTGGATCTCTGTGAGTTCGAGGCCAGCCTGATCTACAGAGCGAGGTCCAGGACAGGCTCCAAAACAATGCAGAGAAACCCTGTCTCGAAACTCCTCCCCCCCTAAAAAAGAAAGATCAAAGGCTAGGATTGCAATTCAGTGGTAGAATCCCCCAGTGAGGGGCTGGGATGTGACTCAGTGGTAGAGCCCCTGCCTAGAATCCCCCAGTGAGGCGTGGGGGTGTGGCTCAGTGGTAGAGCCCCTGCCTAGAATCCCCCAGTGAGGCGCTGGGGGTGTGGCTCAGTGGTAGAGCCCCTGCCTAGAATCCCTCAGTGAGAGGCTGGGGGCGTGGCTCAATGGTAGAGAGGTAGCCTACCTTGCAAAGGACCCTGAGTTCCATCCTCAGTACCGTAAACAAGTGGAATAAAATAGAACAAATAACTTTTATAAAGAAAATGTTACTTGCCGCCGTGGAAGCAGGGCAACATTGCTTGTCAGAAATAGATTACAGCAAAGACAGACACGAAAATGTTAAGAATTGTTTTGCTCATCACTCTCCTCTTGCTGTGCACGCCATTGTAGGAGACAGACACAGAGGTGCGGAGGAGCATCAGAGATACAGAGCTTGTGTATAGCAGGAATGCTGTGCGGTGCAGCCGCTTGCAACTAAAGCAGGGGGCTGGGAGATATCTCAGGGGTTAGAGGCACTTGCAGCCAAGCCTGGTGACCTGTGTTCAGTCCCTGGAATCCACCAAACGATAGGAGGGACCTGACTCCACAAAATTCTCCTCTGCACCCAGGAGGCAAAAGTAGGCAAATCTCTGTGAGTCAGAGACCTGTCTGGTGTAGGTAGTGAGTTCTAGGCAGGCTGGGGCTGTGTGGTACAACCGTGCCAAAAAAAAAAAAAACAAAACAAAACAAACAAACAAACAATAAAACCTCCCAAAACAATAAAGAAAACCAAACAAACAAACGAAAAACCCCACCAAAACAGCAGTGTCTGAATTTCCAGGCAAGTTGTACTAGTTTTTAATTTAGTTTATTGTTGTTACTATTTTGGTTTTTGTTTCTTTGTTTTGTTTTTACAAGCATTGGTGTTTTGCCTGCATGTTTGTCTGTGCGAGGGCGTCAGGTCCCCTAGATTTGGAGTTACAGACGGTTGTGAGCTGCCTCGTGGGTGCTGGGAACTGAACATGGGGTCCTCCGGAAGAACAGCCAGTGCTCTTAATCACTGTGCCTTTAAAATTTTTTTTGGGATGTCATAGGGCGCTTGCATAGCAAGGGAGAGGCCATAGGTCACAGCCCCCAGTACTACATACGTGTACGTGCGTGTGCACGAAACATAAAGGTGGCGGGCGGGCCCAGTGGGTAGAGGTGACCCCTGCACCTCTCGTGGCACAGGGAGGGAGCCGACTCTGCAGGTCGGCCTTGTGCGTGCGCACACACAAGAATAAATAAATAAAGGTGGCGACACGCGCCCAGCACTCAGGAGGCAGAGGCGGGAGGGGGGTGTCTGAGTTCGAGGGGGGGATAAACAAAAGCAAATAAATATATAAATACCTTATAAATTATTACATATATACACATTTCCTTTTTTTTTTTTCTTTTTTAGTTTTACAAGACAGGGTTTCCCCGTGGCTTTGGAGGCTGTCCTGGAACTCACTACGGAGACCAGGCTGGTCTCGAACTCACAGAGATCCGCCTGCCTCTGCCTCCCGAGAGCTGGGATTAAAGGCGTGCGCCACCAACGCCCGGCGGCTTAAATCCTCCCACAAGGCTTATTTAAGGACGCGTCGTTGGTTCTCCTCTTTCCTAAGGCGAGGCGTGGCTGTCAGAGCGTGGGGAGATGGGAGCGTCCTGGCGACGCCTAAGCCCCCCGGGGAGGGTGGGGTCCCTGCAGGGGACCCACGCCTGCACCCCGGCTCCGGGCTCGAAAGCAGTTTCAGACGGGAAGCCGCCGCCGAGCGCCCCCTGGCGGCCGCCTCCGCAGGTTCCTCGGGGAGCCGAAGGACGCTTTGCACGGAGGTCGCGGGACAGCCCCGGAAAACTCAGCTCGCTCGCCTCGCGGGCCACCACCAGCGGCGAGGGCGCCATCAGGAAGCAGCGAGGGACATAGCTTCATGGTTGGCGGCGCGCGGGGGGCCTCCGCAACACCAGGAGCTGTGTTGAAGAGTCGCGGCCTTAGGAAGGCCGGGAACCGCTGCTCCGGGGGATCCGGCTGTGTCAAGCACGTTGCGCAGGCGGGGAAACTGAGGCTGGAGAGGACGACGGTGGCGGCATCGATTCGTCTAAGCCCGTGGTGACCTGGTCGTGTGCGGCGGCGGAGAGCGGGGCCTTCCCAGGTGTCCAAACCGGGCTGAGCGGAGGCTTTGGCCCTCGAGGATGCGGGGAGGAAGGACAGCCCGGGTCTGCAATTTCACCGAGGACGGCGGCGCCCCTCAAGCCGGTGCAGGACGGTGGCCGTGGGCATGCTTGGGGCGAAAGGGGCTGGAGCTCCGGGCGCCACGCGCAGGTGGAGAGTCCGGGCACCACCGGAGTCATCCCAGGGTTAAGCCGGGTGCGTGGCTCCCCGGTGCCCCCCACGATCCCCGCAGCTCGGGGAGGGCTCAGGCAGGGAGATGGCTTCAAAGTGCAGGCCAGCCTGGGCTACAGAGGGAACGCCAGGCCGGCCTGGGCTACAGAGGGAACGCCAGGGCGGCCTGGGCTACAGAGGGAACGCCAGGCCGGCCTGGGCTACAGAGGGGACGCCAGGCCAGCCTGTGACACAGAGGGAGACCCTGTCAGAAAAAACGAAAAAGGAAAGACACTGTCTCAAGGAAACAGAAAAACAAAAGTGTTGGTAAGAATATCGTAAGTTGGTAAGAAATATCACACACAAAAGAAACTCTGTCTCAAAAAACCCAAGTGTGTGTCCGTGTGTGTGTTTGTGGTGTGCGCGTGTATGTGTGTATGCGTGTGTGATGATGTGTGATGTGTGTGTGCGTGTGTCTGTGTGCGTTGATGTGTGTGTGCACACGTGTGTGTTGATGTGTGATGTGTGTGTGCGCGTGTGTGCGCGTGTGTGCGCGTGCGTGTGTTGATGTGTGATGTGTGTGTGTGCGTGCGTTGATGTGTGATGTGTGTGTGCGTGTGTCTGTGTGCGCGTGCGTGTGTTGATGTGTGATGTGTGTGTGTCTGTGTGTGTGTTGATGTGTGATGTGTGTGTGTCTGTGTGTGTGTTGATGTGTGATGTGTGTGTAGATGTGTCTGTGTGTGCGCACGTGTGGGATGATGTGTGTAGGTCTCGTTTCCCCTAGGGAGCTGGGTGGCAGAAGTGGACTGTGACACCCTCATGCCTTGCCTCAGTTTCCCTGCCGAGGCACACCCGTGTGGATCGCGAGGACGGTCGGTTTCAGCCCCGTCGCCTGGGGTCTGACTCGGTGCCCGGGCCCCGCCGACGCCGGTTTCCCAGGAACCGCACGTGCTTGCAGTTCCGCCACGGGACAGCAGGTGTCGCCCGGAGGCCGCGCTCCATCAGCCCCCACGACAGCCTCGCTGTCCCTCTCAGAAGAACTCGAACTCCGCCACGAAGGGGCTTCCGAGGAGCTTTTCTTTAAAAAAAACAAGACAGACAAAATAAAAAAAAAAAAAACCTGACTTTTCACTTTGCAAAAAGTCTGTTCCTGTACAGCCAGGGAGGGAGGCGCTGTTTCCCAGAATGCAATGCGCCAGGTAAATAAAGCTACTTATTTTAATTTTACGGGATAATTCACGGTGTGTTTGCAATGAGAAGCATAGAGTCACTAAGACATGCGAGAAAGAATATTGAAAACGCTAGAGTTGGGCATATTTTACAAAAAACGCAAGTCACCGTAACCGATAAGATTTGAATTATTTGCCCTCTATATATCTGTCCGGAAGCAGTGCTTCCTGCCCGGATGATCCTCAGTGGTCTGGGGTGCAGGCTTCAAACCTGTAGCTGTTTAGCGACAGAGTGGTTCAATTCCACCTTTCGGGCGGGAGTATCTATCCCATTTTGCGACCCGTACTCTGCGATGAACGTTTTCAAATCGACCCGCACTCTTCGTAGCTGCCTTTTGTCCCCCGGGAAGGATCAAACGCGTTTCTAAAGTGCGTTTAAACTTGCCTCTAAGACTCTAGGATACTCCTGACCATCTCCAATGGCTCTCCTTCAACGATGTGTTTGCTATTCGTCCAGGCATTTGCTCGGCCTCGTGTCTAATCCGCATGTAGCTGTCAGTCTGTCCATTTGCTCCTGTGGCTCAGCCCCGTCTCCGTGTCTGAGCAGCGACGGATGGGGACGCAGCTGTGCTCCACCCTCGGCCCTGGTCCCGGGAGGCCGGGGAGAGCACAGCACCGGGCAACCACGTTCTTAAAGAGGTCGAAGCGCCTGGAGCCTCGCCGCCTGGCGACCTGACCAGGGTGACCTTGAGACACACTTGATGATGACATTGACGCTCGAGCGAACGCCTGGTCTTTTTCAAGGTCAGCAGAGCTCCCCGACCACCCGACCGGCCGTGCAACCCCTCCTCCAGTGGTTTGTCCTTCCCAGGCGTGCTATCAACGAAGCGGCAAGTGTTCTGCCCTCCGTGTGCTTAGGATCCGTTCTTTCCCATTCTGGGTCCTCCCCAGCCTCCCCTAGCTACTCTCAGTCCGGGAGTAGAGAAGACCGCCTAACAGTAACTGTCCCCTGCTTCCCTTCCCAAACCCTGCTGTGGACATCGCGTTCTGAGTGTGGGCATTCCTTCCCAGCCATGAAGTCTCCCAAATATGTCAGTTTATCCCAACCTGTCCCCCGCCCCGTAGGTGACACAGCCTGGAACAGGGCGAGCCCTCCCCAGTGTCCGCTTCCCTTTCACCCAGCTGCAGGCTGATTAGTTAGGTGCCCCAGTAAGTGCCCGTGAAGGCTTCCCAGCAACACAAATTCATTCTGTCTCGTTGAAAGCCATGTAATAGGTGCCCAGGGCAAATACACACTTTGAACTGAGGGATACATTTTTTAAAGCTCTTTTATTGGCGACAGTGCAGAACCAAGGGGGTAGGGGGCTGCCCAGTGCTAGACTGCCCCAGCACCCCCGGGGTCAGGTGCAAAATACAAAAAAAAAAAAAATCACCAACATCAAAAGTCACAAGTACAGCATGGGTGGGACCACATGGGTGGGCCCTTCTCCTGATCGTACACTCCCATCCGGAACCCTCAGGGACACACATTGTGAAAATCGACCACCCATTCACACTGACTCAGAAAGTGAAAACCCGGAGTTGACGCACAGAAGGAGCCAGTGGGAGAGGAGACACGTTGGAAGTGGCCAGAGCAAAACAGACTGAGAAAAGATTGTCTCCAACAGCCAGAGGGGCTGGGACAACAAACAAAGGGACAGTTACGGAAGGGACAGCCAGAGACTCTGACTCGAGTGTCCAGAAGCGATTTCGAACTCCACAGCACACTTGCAAACGAGGAAACTCGTACGCACGCACGTGTACACACACACACACACACGCACGCACACGCGCGCACACACACAGACACTCATATATAATATATTTCTCTATACATAATAGATATAAGTGCTTTTCGGGAACCAGGGAAGGGATAAATAGCTTGGCTGGGGTTAGGGTTGGAACCGAGGACCCAGGACAGGGTGTGGAATGTGTTCCATGCAGCACAGGGGAGGGGAGCTGAGGGGTCCATCTCCCCAATATTAAAAAATAGAAATCTGACTCGTGGAACTCGCACGAGGTTAAAGCTGGAGGGAGGAGCCAGAACCCATGTTGGGGGCTGGGGGAGTTGGGGGGACTGGGAGCCCAGTCCCCTCTTTACGCCAGTCCAGAAATGTTGGGGGGTTCAAATATCAAGGGTAGGGGAGCCAAAGCCTCAGCCCTGAAAACTTCTCTGGAAATTGCCTCGACCTCCGTGAGAGGATGCGGGGCTCCCAGGGTGGGGAGAAGTTGGCGTCCTAGGCTGGGGAGGCATCGCCGTCACTCCTTACAGTCTAACTCCCTGTCGAGGGGAGGAAGGAGGCCCTTGCAAGAAGGGGAGGCCCAGGGAAAGCCTTGGAGGGTTGGGGGGTCAATCCCACCCGGCGCACCCCGCAATCCGGCCGCTCATTCACAGTATAAAGCGCTCCAGCAAGACGGGCGTCGCAGCGCCCCCTGCTGCCCGACACCAGAAAGGCCCAACGAGGACGGCCAAGGGCGGCTGGGGGGTTGGGGGGAAGGGGGCTCCGCATAATACTGCACGGGGTGAGCTCGGGCCTGGCTTGGGAGGGGGCTCTGGAGCACATGGGAGAAGATAAAATCCAACCCGAGCCAGTTTTTTTTTTTTTTCCCCAGGAGGGAAAGACTGGACGGGACAGTCAGACAGGGGTTCACATTTTGGAGTCACGGGAAAGTGGGGTTAGCGGGCTCCCAAAGCGGGCACCGACTTCCCTCGGGGGGGGGCTCAATTCGTGCCGGAGGAGGTGAGGTTGTGACCTCCTGGAAATGTTGGGTTAATCAGCTAAAGGCCGGGGGACCCTGCACCCTGGAAGGCGGGTGGGTGGGGGAGAGACGGGGACGGGGCTGTCATTTCCTCGTTGGGCCCCTCTGGGGGTGCATGCTCACACAGCAGCCCACCCTGCACCCCACACCCAGCACCCTTTCCCCTGCAGCCTCACGCAAGACGCCAGGAGTGGGCGTCACACCCCACCCACCCCGCCCAGCCATCTATCCCCAGAAGTTGGGTTGAAGTGACAAAGGACCGTAATAGCCGTCTGGAGGGGAGGGGGGTGTCCATCCCCGCCCCGCCTCCTACCCCCAAAGTCACCAGCTCCTCCGGCCTCGCCGGGGCACAGACACCACAGGGACCGAGCGCAAAAAACAAAACGCAAAGGAGGTCCTTCCGTCCTGTCCGATGGCAGAGGCGGCGGGCAGTCAGACAGAAGAGTCAGAGGGTCCACACACATCCCCCCGACTGCTTCGTCCCCTCTCCTCCTCTTCTTCCTCCTCCTCCTCGTTCCTTGCGGGTTTGTTTGTTTTGTTTGTCTAAAGAGTTCACAGAGCAAGAAGGGAGGGCGAGTTCAGGGGGGTCGGACGGCTGCTCGCTGCCGCTGGAGCTTGGGACGCCGGCGAATGCGGAGACCTCCGGGCAGGTGAGGACAAACGAGGAAGTGTACGAAGGGCTAACAACGGGGAAGGGGTCGCCGAGGACTTGAACTTCACTGTGTGTAAAGAGAGAAGCCGTCAGGTTGGGGGGTGCGTCTCGGCTGGTCTGGAAGGGCAGGGGCGGTGGTGGAGGGGGCGGCAGCAGCCAGCCGAAGCCGTCTTCCTTAGCGGATGTTGACCCTGGCAAATCTCTCACCTCGGCCAGCGGGCCTGGCCCCGGCCCCTCTTCATAGGGGATCTTGCAGCCCGGTTTGTGGGCCACCAGGACAAACTCCAGACGTTCCTTCTCTTTTTGCAGCTCGGCGATCTCCGACTCCAGCTCTGCCTTTTCCTCTTCCAGCTGATCCGTTTCCTGATGAATCCCAGCGAGGGCCAGGTCATAGGAGACAGAAAGGAAGGACCATTGGTCAACGACCACACAAAGTGCCTCAGCCACCCCCCCCCACATTCTAGCTGCTGATCCAGGGGCCCTCTCAATTGAGGGGAGGCCCCCCTCCCCCGAGAGGGACTCCTGGAAGACGATACAACTTGGAGCCTCAGTTTCCCCATCTGAGCAAGAGATGGTTGGGGAAAAGCCAGGCTGGAATGGAAGTCTCTGATGAGCTCCAAGCCTAGGGTGGATGTGGACACCTGTAAAACCCGAGCGCTCAGAGGCTGAGGCAGGGGGAGGATTGCTTGTTTGAGGACAGCCTGAGCTAAAGAGTAATCTACCTTAAAACCGGAGGAAGGGGTCAACATGGTTCAGGGAGTAAGGGCGGTGGCCCGCAAGCCTGACAAATCGAGCTGCGGTTTCTGGGAGCCACGAGATGGGAGGGGAGGAGCAACCGCTCTGAAAACTGTTCTCTGACCCCCGCCGTATGTGTGCTGTAGCACACCTGTACACTCTCAAACGTAAGGAAATAAATAAATAAATGGAGTTTTTTTTTAGAGATAGAAAAAGAAAAACACTGCAGTTTTCTGAGTGGATAAACAACGGTTATGTGTTGTTTTTAGTGTGGTTCTGCCATCTGTCCCCCCCCCCAGCCTCCCAGGAGGAAAAGCAGAGATGTGTGGCCTGGTTTCCAGGGGCAAGAGGAAACTGCAGGAACGAAGGAAGGGGGACACTGAGGCAGGAGGAAGAAAGGACTGGGCTGGGTGGGCACCACCAGCTCAAGTTCTGTAGAACTGTAGGTGGCTGGGGCAGGAGGTACGGATTGACCCAGCATCAAATAATTTAGTTTCCAGCCAGCCAAGACGATGGCCCGTGTGTCATCTCAGCACCCACGGATCGAGACCGAAGTCTATCAAGTTGGGGGGGTGGGCACGCTGGGCTGCACTAGGAGACCCCCGCCTCAGAAAAAAAACAAAAACAAAACTGGAGGCACCTCGGCAAAAGGGATGCTTCCTTAACCAGGACTAAGGGAATGACCTCCTCCAGCTTCTCTTTTTTTTTTTTTTTTTTCCAGACAGGGTTTCTCTGTGGCTCTGGAGGCTGTCCTGGAACTCACTTGGTAGTCCAGGCTGGTCTCGAACTCACAGAAATCGGCCTGCCTCTGCCTCCTGAGTGCTGGGATTAAAGGCGTGTGCCACCAACGCCCGGCTTCCAGCTTCTCTTATAAGCTGAGACAGAGAGCTATGTGGGGATATCCAGGGAAAGTGGGGGACAGCTGGAAGAGGCAGGAAGGGGTCTGGGCATTCGCAAGCAGCGACCCCACCAGGCCGGCACTGAGCCTTGTTCCCTCAGCGGGGATCCTTGTTCAGGACACAGGCACAGTGAGAAGTGGGGGGGGGCAAGGCAGAGGGCCCCCATCACAGCCTCGAGACCCCAGAACTCCTCCTTACCGCCTGGAGTCGGTCCGTCAGCTCCCTCCGACGGTTTCTGCATTTAGCTGCCGCCAGCTTGTTTCTCTCTCTGCGAACCCTCCGCTTCTCTTCTTCTTCTGGGGTGAGCTGGGTCGAAGAGACAAGGGACTGTGAGATTTGGGGATACCTCCTACCATCCCTGACAAAACTCCTTTCCCTCCAGAACCCCAAACAACAACCACAACAACCACTGCTCCTTAGGGGCAGGAATGGACACATGATTAAGATCTCTATGTCTTGAGGCCTCAAAAGACCCCCAACTCAATAGTGACAGAGTTACTGTCACTCCTTTTACTTCCCGCACCCCCAGGCCAACTTTTTTTTTTTAATAATAATCTCTTGCAGTCCAGGCTGGTCTCAAACTCAATAAGGAGCACAGGCTGGCCTCGAACCCCTGATCCTCCTGCCTCCACCTACCGAGAGCTAGGGTCACCAGCCTGCACGACCACTCCTGGTTCATGCTACGCTGGAGGTCTCCCCTGCTAGCAGGCACACTACCGACTGAGCCCACATCCCCAGGCTCCTCCCGAGGCCTCTTACTCACCGTCTCCTCCCGGGATCTTCTAGGCCTGGCCCTGGCTGGGCGAGCGGGCCCGGGAGCGCCGGAGGCTGTACTGGTCGAAGGCCCACCGCTTCCGCTGGCTCCACCAGCACTGTAGGCACTCAGGCCTGGGGTTGAGTAGCTGGTTCCTGGCATGTCATAGGGGTCAACAGCTGGAGGCTGGGAAGCCAAAGGCTGCCCCTGGGACTGGGCCATGGAGGAGATGAGGGTGGGTTGCACGAGCCACTGGAGGTCCTGGCTGGTTGTGATCGCAGTGACCGTTGGCACGAAGGAGCCGGGCATTTCCCCGAGACCGGCGCACTCCTACGGGGTGAGACATACACACACAGGCGTAGACACACAAACAAAGCCACCGACACACGCGCGCCCCGCACACATAACACACACCGACCCCCGTGAGTGAGCACAGGGTGAGCGGGTGTGTGTGTCACAGGCAGAAAGCCACAACACCCACCCTTCCACTACACCGTGACGCAGTGGTTAATGAGAGGATTCTGCTCAACTGCCTTCTACCTCCTCCTTCTTCCTCGGGGAAAGGTTGCACGGTTCCAGCAAGTGGTGAATCACACCCCGGGTTGGTGACTCTTAGGTGTGTGGGGGGGTGGAGAGGAGGCTGGACAGAGCCTGGTGACAGAACCTCCCGGGATGGAGACACACACACACACACACACACACTCAGAGTCCCAACACCCCACCCCCACCCCGGGGGGAGGGAGAGGGAGAGGCCGTAACCCAAGCCTGCCTCCCCACTTCCACACAAACACACCCCCACTGCATGAGGGCTCCCGCAGGGGCGGAGATCCTAGCTCCAATGGTGTTGGGGGACTGGCCTAAGAGTTGAGAGCATCTGTCTCTTCCCCAGTGACACTGACAAGTGACAGGTCTGAGTGGACTGGTAAGTAGAGACAAGTGACCGTGACGATCCCCCAGACTATCTTGCAGGGGATGGGGGCGATATAGGATCCGCGTCCCCAAACCCAAGAAGCGTCCATCACCACCCCCCTCCCGCAAGTGGAATCCTAGAGGCTTGACTACTCTGGGGGGCGTGGCGAGGGAAGGGCTGAATCCCTGGCCAATCAGGGTCCTGGGAACCAAGGGAAGGCGGACCTTTTAGAGACCACTTGGCTGCTTCCCCTCGGGGTAGCTCGTCTAGTGTTTGGACATCTCGAAAGGACCGGGTGTTCAGCGCGCGGGGAGAGCGTATATGTGAGCCTGGAGAGGGGGTGACAGCCTCCAGTTCCCCCTTAGAGGCGCCAGCACTCAGGCAGAGGCCCCCTGCTTCTGACAGCGCAGGGACCAGGTCCCCACAAGGTCCTCGCAGACCCATGAGTTGACAGGGCCGCTCCGATCACGACAAGAATCCCCTAGCCCTGCCTCCTAGAGACCCCCAGCACGGAAGAACCACAAAAAGCAGGGGAAGGGAGCTACGCTCTACAAATAGGAAGGAGACGGTGATTGGCTAACGTCCTCTCCCCGGCAGCCAATCAGAAAGCCGCGCTGCCCCCTCCCTTAGCAACGTGGCCTCGGCGTTCCAAAATAGAACGTGCCCGGGACGTCAGGGGCGGGGCGGGCAGAGGGGGCGCTGCGCGCTGTGCGTGCCCCGCGTCAGACGGAGGATTCCAGCGCGTCAGCCTTTACGCACGGGTCCCCCGTTACGTCTCCGCGCAGGAGGCGGAGGCTGCGTGATCGGGGTTCGAGGCCCGAACTCCCGCCGGGTGGCGGGCGAGCGCGGCCCCGTAGTCCGCGCTTGGAAGGAGGAGGGCAGAGGAGAAAGCTACTGGAAGCTTCTCTCTGGTTTTTTTCGTTTTTTTTTTTTCTTTTTCCTTTCCCTACTTGTCTAGCTCTCGGTTAGGGAGCCGGGGCTCAGCTAAAAGTTCTCAGCTCCTGCTAGCCACGGCGTATGCCCGGCATCGCCAACGCTTGCCTAGCTGCATTCCTTTCCCGCGCTCTGCGCACACAACCCGTTGCAAAAACCCGTCCAGTCCTTGCAGTTTGCAAACAACAACAACTACAACAAAAACCAAAGTGCAACCCGAGCCCCTGGCTTTCCCAGATCCTGAGTCTCTGACGCGTCCTATGTGAGAGGATGCCTAATTCACACTTTACGCTTAAAGAAGCATTTCCCCCATGACCACCAAAGTAGCATCTTTGCGATCTAGAACGCACCTGGGAGGCGGCGGCGGTGGGTGGACTGCCGAAGGAGTCCACTGAAGACAGGTACTGAGACTCGGCGGAGGGTGACGAGCTACACCGGGAGCCGGAGTCGTAGTCTCCGGGGAAAGCTTGAAACATTTCCCTGGGCACAGGGGGGCCCCTGTGACCACGCTGAGGTCGCCGGGAAGCCAAGGCTATGGCCGAGTGGGGTGAGATGCGAGTCCGGAGTGGACCGGACACGTCCCCAAAGTGCGCTGCTTGGGGGAGCTCCGCGTCCGGCTCGGAGAACTGCCCAAGTTTCGATGCAAGTCCCCTCTGCAGGTCGCCGCTGTACCTCCTGAAAGTTCAGGCTCCGGCGACTTCACGGAGGGGCGACGCGGGGATCGCTCCCCGCCCAGAGGCCCGCCGCGCGGTGCCGCCGTTCAGCGTGCGCTCCGGATGCGCGGTTCCCTTCCTCTCCCGGAGTTCCACGAAACGGGGGAGGGCAGAGGGGCGCGATCCAGAAGCCCACAGAAAGTAAGTCTATCCTCAGGGCGAAACGGAAGAACGATCTAGAAGGAGTCTTGCAAAAAAGAAACCCACAAAACTTTCTCTCCAGTTAAAAAATCAAGACTATATATATAAATATAAATTTTTTCACGGACGCCAAGAAGAAGAAGAAGAAGAAGAAGAGTCACCAGTAGTCAAGTCCCGCAAGCCCCGGCTCCGCGTGTCCCCGGCGTAGCCGCTCCAGTCTTATGAATGAAGCCGGGAGCTGCCGGGCGGAATTTATGCGGTCGGGACCCGCCCCCCCGCTTGCGTCACCCGCCGCTCGGTGCACAAACCTCCCGAAGTCTCCCTCCCCGCCGCCCGAGCCCCCGGAGGCGCCCCCCAGGGCCTCGCGCATCCTCCACCTGCCCATAGGGTGACCCTGGTGGTCTCGGGGGTCGCCAGATCTACGTTGCGAGGGTCTCTGCGGCAGGGGATCCCGCCCCGCCCTCCCCGGAGTTCCTGTGACGCAATTAGCCATATAAGGAGCTGCTGGCCGGCGCGGCCGAGTGTTTGTTTGGTATCCTAGCAATGACGTCAGAGGGAATCCCTCGCTCCGGCGCGCGCCCGCCGCCGCGCCGTGCGGAACCCGCCCGCGCCTGCGCAGTGCCACGCCGCCCCGGGGGCTGAGATTGACAGACGCCTGAACTGCCCGGGAAGGCCCCTGCTGACCCCGGCTGGAGAAGGTGCAACCCCAGGTGCCCAGACCTGGTTGTCCCGAGACCCCCAGCGTCCCCAAGCCAGTGCAGCGCCCCCGGCTGGTGGAAGAGAGCAAGTCCCCAGTGCAGATCCCAGTGAGAGGGGTGTAGTCAATCGAGGCGGGGGAAACTGAGGTTCAGGAGGGGTTGGAGGGACTGGGATGTCGCCAGGTGTAGGTAGAGTAAGGATGGAGACCCCTCCCCACTAGGTTAGTCGCAGATGATGCCTGACTCTCTGACCTTGAAAAATGTGCTTGCTCCCTGAGCCAAAACTTCGGTGCTCACAGCTAAGCAAAGGATGGTGGCTTCCGGGGGTGGTGGGGTGCCCTGCATCTGGGGAACCTAAATAATTGGATCAGGTACGAACTTATAATACCCTGTGAGTTCTTCGGGCTTGTTGCTGGAAGCCTGTCCTTCCTGCTTAGCGCCTGACCCAGAGACAGAAAGGAAAGTGTGTGTAATTAAGAACAATAATAATAATTGGTGGTAGCCGGGTAGTGGATGTGTACACCTTTCATCCCAGCACTCGGGAGGCAGATGCAGGTGGATCTCTGTGAGTTCGAGGCCAACTTGGTCTACAGAGTGAGTTCCTGGACAGGCTCCAAAACAATACAGAGAAACCGTGTCTCAAAAAGAATTATTATTATTATTATTATTATAAATTAATACTTAATGATAAATATTATTATTATTAGTGGCATGTATTTAGTAATCAGCAAGTGTCAATGCCAGTGCTGAGCCTTTGAAGGTAGGACTTATAACCCTTAGAAGTTTGAGCGTTTTAAGAGAGTAATACCTTCATGACAGAGGAAAATGATGGCGGGCGAGATGGCTCATAGGTAAAAGAGCCTACCACACAAGCCTGGCGACCTGAGTTCTGTCCCTGGGACTCACCATGAGAGGAGAGAAACGACTCCTAGAAATTGTTCTCTGACCTCCACGTATGTGCCGAGGGACCTGCCAACCGGTACTCACATATAATAATAATAATAATAAACCAGTACTCACATATAATAATAATAACAACAACATCAACAGCCGGTATTCACCCAGAAAGAAAAAGGAAGGAAGGAAAGCAGGAAGAAATGGTGTTAGGTTAATTGATAGGCTTGAGTGTCCACCGGGAGAGATGGGATGAAGTTTAGATGGTAGAGGGGTTAATGGATACAGAGGAAGCGGTAGGGAACCCGTTATGAAGCATGCTGGGAAGAGTCTGAGGTCAGCCTGAGCCGTGTGATACTGAGACATATATACATATATTCACAGAATCTAGTGTGAGCACCCCCTTTTCTCCCTCTTTCCCCCCTCTGGTTTGTTTGTTTGTTTGTTTGTTTGTTTTTCGAGACAGGGTTTCTCTGTGGCTTTGGAGGCTGTCCTGGAACTTGCTCTGTAGACTAGGCTGGTTTCGAACTCACAGAGATCCGTCTGCCTCTGCCTCCCGAGTGCTGGGATTAAAGGTGTGGGCCACCACCGCCCAGCTCCTCCTCTCTGTTTCTGAGACAGGGTCTCATTATACAGCCCTGGCTAGCCTGGAGCTGGTTATGTAGACCAGGCTGCCCTTCACCTCGTCAGACAGTGGACATTTCTGATCTTATAGCCTGTTTGTGCGTTTTTAAAACTATGTCTGGAATTTACTGTGTATCTGAGGATGGCCATCAACTTCTGAACCTCTTGCCCCCACCTCCGTATTGTCACCAGACCTGGATTGTGTGTTGCTGGGGATGGAACCTCCTGCATGCTACGTGAGCAGTCTCCTACCTGAGCTGCATCACTGGCCAGATCCTGACTGTTAAATACTCACTGAGAAGGGGGCCACCATTAACTGCACAAGCCTGGTGGACCTCCAGAACCAGCCTGGTACTGTGTGACAAAATTTTCCTGGGAGCCAGCACATGACAGTATGGATATTACCAAAGTCCAATCTGGTGAACCAGTGGGATTTATTGGGGTTACTTGCAGGAATATGTATTGGTGAGGGTTACTTACAGTTCTATGTATGGGTCAGGAATCACTTACAGGAGCAGAAATGACTCAGAGGCAGCTCATCTCCCGAGCCCACCCCGGCATGAGTGACAGCTCACAGAGCTGGGAACCTGGAGCGCTCTGCACAGCCTGCAGGCCGCTCAGCAGGGTGGGGAGTGTCCCTTCCAGGAGCACGATTTGATCTAAACCTCTTGCAGGCAGCTTGTCTGGCATCCTAGTCCCCTTTTCCCCTTGGCCTGTCTGAGGGTCTTCTCTGCAGTTTGCTTCCTTCCCTCTGGGGGGGTACTCTTGGCTTTTATTGCTTACTCTGGCAGGAAGGGGCTTACGAATTTGGTCAGTCTCAGAGACTTTCTATTTTGAGTGGTTTGGCCTCCTGTTTAAAGAACTTCTCTACAGGGTGGGATGTTTCAGTCTTGGAGTGAACTGTATTCCTGGTCCAGCCCAGAATCTAGAGAAGAAAGCAAAGATTCATGTTAATTGTTGTTTTAGGATTCTTTATTTTATATTATGTGCATGAGTGTTTTGTGTGTGTGTGTGTGTGTGTGTGCACCATGTGTGTGCCTGGTGCCCACAGAGGTCAGAAGAGGGCATTGTTTCTCTGGAACTGATGGTCGTGAAGCATCTTGTGGATACTGGAACCCAAACCAGCTTCTTGCAGAGGCAACAACACCTAGTGCTCTTCACAATGATCAATTTCCCCAGCCCTATGAAGCACTTTTAACATGTTGGATCTCACTAGGCAAAGTGGCGCACACCTTTAAAGCCAGCAATCTGGAGGCAGAAGCAGGTAGATCTCTGTGAGTTCAAGGCCAGCCTGGTCTACAGAGTGAGTTCCAGGATAGACAGAGTTACATAGTGAGACCCTGTCTCAAGGGAAAAGAAAGAAAGAAAGAAAGAAAGAAAGAAAGAAAGAAAGAAAGAAAGAAAGAAAGAAAAAAGAGGTAAAGTTGAAACTCACAGACCCAGAGAGAAAAAGCCCTGGCTTGGGGCCCGACCCCAAGGACAGGGTGTGATGTCCTACACCCAGAAGAATCTTGATTCTCTGCACCAATAATGGAAGGAGGGTGGGGAACCACATAAGGCCAAAGGGACTTGGAGGGTGGTGACAAGTGATGACAGAGACGGCCAGACAAAAGCCTTGCCTCAAACCGCCCTGGTTCCCCACGCCCCCTCTGTCTGCTCCAGTCAGGAGGGAGGGACAGGTACCCGGGGATGCAGGCAGTGACTCGGCTCGGGCATCAGACAGGGAGTGACCCTTCAGCCTTCTCAGCTTGTCGTCTTCTTTTCCTGGGGGAGAAAAGGCACGCACACGCCCACTGTGGTCCTCAGACCCTGACACCTCAGACACCCAAGACGCCGCCACGGGGCCACTCAGACATCCGCCCACAAGCAGTATCCCACAGCCATGCAGAGCCACTTCCTAGACACACCTGCACGGAGTAAGACGCCGCCACCTTATATGTCAAGTGTCTATATACACAGGGAGGAAAAGAAGGCTCCCAGTGGGACAGGGACGGAACCCGAAGTGCCCAGAGACCACTGGACCTTGCTACCGCTGTGCATAGACGCTTAACCGCTGGGCCACCTCTCCAGCTTCCTTTGTTTGGAGACAGGGAATGCCTATGCAGCTCAGACCCGCCTAGAAGTCATTGGATCGCAAGCATGAGTTAGTCTATCCAACTCTCCTCCTGTTTTCTCCCACTCTGTAGCCCAGGCTAGCCCACCTCCTGCTTCTGCCTCCCAGCTGCCCACCATGCCTGTGCTCATTGGCTAAAATAACATCACTCTGGTCTTCATGAATGCACAGTCCTCTGGACTTCCCTGAGCCAACCCCTCGCTACTGCGTTCCTCGTCCCCCAAGCCCTCGGGCCACACCCCAGCCCTGGCCCTGAGGACCCCTGTGAGCTTGATGTCTGTGGGCATCCCCGTGGCTTCAGAAGAAGGCCTCCCATGGCAATGCAGAGTGCCCTTGCCCTGCCCTCCTGGCTGGCATAGATTTAGTAGCCTGCCCCTGCCCGATGGTCAGGGCAGAATTGGCTGGCTCAGTCCCTCTTTGGTAGCAATCCTGGAGGCCTCCTGGAGGTGGTGCCCCTGAAAATTCAGGGAGACAGAATGGAATGATCTATGGTACCTGTCGGTGACCCCCGCCCAGCCTCCCTGCTGTGCCTCAGGCTCCTATTATTTGTGTACACTCACCCCACTGCCTGGAACATTCTTTCTGGTCTGCTTGACTCCCACAGCTGCCTTGGCCTCAGACGAGCCAGCATGCCTGCACAAATCCTGTTGTCTCCCAGGCATCCCCCTCAGAGTTGGGCCGAGGAGGCCCTGTACACTGTTGTGTCCCAGCACACGGAAGGTATCTGTAGGCGCTGCAAACATTTTTGCCCAGCCATGACTTTACCTCATTTTTACTTTGTCATTTCTGAGGTACTGTCCCAGGTAGCCCAGGCTGGCATCCAGAGTGTCCTACGTAGCCAAGGATGACCCACCTAGAACTTCTCTGATCCTTTTGGTTCCAACTCCCAGCTCTGGAATTACAGGTGTGTGTCACCACCACACCTGGTTTGTACAGTGTTG